TGGAGGGCCGAAAAGAGATGCTCACCGCCACAGAAAAGTCATCAACACCCCCGAATGAAGCAGGGTTAGCATCAAACGATGACACAGGGGAACCCGGAAACAGAGCTGGGTCTTCAGCTGTGCACACACCACACGCACGGAGACCGCATCAGAGTGAATCTCCGCACCCCTACCCAGCCCAATGGAGCTTCAAGCGTATGGCAAAAGAAAGTGATCACCAGACCCTCTATGAAACCCAGAATAAACGTCCTTGACACTGTAATTGAGAAACAACCAGCAGAAATACATGATAAACCCACTGTGAAATTAGGCAGTTCACCCACAACGAATGCAAGCCACAGGAGGACCGGCTGGATCATCTTGTTCAACGTTGATACATGGAAAGACTCGCTGATGGTGGAGAGAGAACGGTTTGACAGCCAAACGTGGACTGACTGCTGTAAGATGCTGGGACTCCGTCCTCCCCCTGCGACACCCTTTCGCCTTTCTCGCGGAAGCCGGGTGCCATGAGATTGGTCACCCTCACGTGAGTCCCCGGGCGGTGCTGAAGAGGCCAAAGGCACCCTCCTCCTCCTACGCCAGCCAGACATTGTTAATATACGTGAAATTCGGACCAGGCCTGGCAAACCGTTGTCACTGGGAGAGGAGGGGAAAAAGTCGTTGGTTGGGAATCCAAATAGAAAAAACGCTGCAGTTGTACATGGGACACCAGAGCGTTCAGGCGACCGTCTGGTTAAGGATCAGTACCTCCACGATGACCAACAATGACAATGGCTTTCAACTAAAGCCTGTCTAGACAGCGTCGGCAGACTGGCGAGATCAACGCATCTGATACCCATCCCCACTGTTAGACTACTTGCCATCCAAGTTGATTCACTTGCCTCTCTTACAGACGCTGTACACGCTTGGCATATTGCAGAAGACCGCATGGGTGGCTCTATAGGCATGTTTGAGTGTAGGTCAAGACTCACAAGGTGAGAGGAGAGATGGCAACCGCCAAGACCCCCTGTGTCAGTGACTCACACAGGCACTGACCAGTGAGTCAGATGCGTTGAATAATGAATCTCCCGCCACCACAATCTCCAAGCAAGTTGAAAATCAAGCGAAAAAAGGAACGACTGCAGTACTATGAAGACTCACATTGTTGGACCCGACCACGTAGGCCCCCCTGTCGCGAAAATACACATCCAGCCCTCCTCTCCCACGAGGCACATTCTAACATGTATGTACAGCAACGTTAGGTAGCAGAAATAAGGACGCTGCGTGAACATCAGCACTCTGACTTCATATTCATCACCGAATCCTGGCTCTCGCCAGACGTCTCCGACGAAGAGATGCATGTTACTGGCATGGAACTCTTCCTCAGGGATAGGGAACATAGAGCAGGAGGGGGAGTGGCTATCTACGTAAACTCCCGTTTAAAGGCAAGGATGGTTAGCGATACGGCCTTAACCCAGCTCCCAGAGTCTGTATGGTGCTACTTCACCCTCCACTACACCAAATACCTGCTCAAAGTCATATGTCGGTCCCCCACCAGCTCTCCTACACATAAGGAAATGGTCATCAAGGCGATCTTAACGACTTCCTCTGCAAATTACGATTCCGTAGTCATCGCCGCGACTTCAACACCCAGTCCATCCTCTTCGAGACGGAAGGGAGACGCGTCAGATCCTTCAATAAGAAGCTGGAGGATGCAATTAAGACTGCTGGCCTCTCAGAGAAAGTGGGTGATGCTACACGCTGGGGACCTAATGGAAACGCATCGCGCCTTGACCACGCTCCGGGGAGGATAGCCTTCTGATTGAGGATGTTCGTATCCGACCTCCCCTTGGCCTCAGTGACCACGCACTGACAACTTTCTCCATAATTATTGGGAGGCCCTGAAACCGGAGACGCCCAACACCTTCCCTTGCTATAGCAAGGCCAAATATGGGACCATGCGGACTATCTCATGAATGCATCATGGCCAGTAGACCAGACTCATCTCACAATAGATGAACACTGGTTGGAGGTGAAGAAAGTAATCACCGGGGCCAGCAGTCACAGTGTACCAGAGGTAATACATAGACTGTCAGTGAAAACCTCATGGTTAAAGCGTGTAGCAGAGAGGCTACTTCAGAGAAAGAAGCAGGTTTGGCTCAAGTGGCGTACATCACGCAGGGAGTCTGACTTCTTGAGCTACGAAAGGGTTCGCAACCGCTGTAACGTTAGTGTGCGTAGCGACAGATTTTCCCACCAAACAAACTTGACGGATAGGTTACAAAGCAATCCCAAAAACTTGTACCGCTTCATGTCGAGAAGAAAGTCGACCAGTAAGGGAGTGAATCTTGTCACAGGCCATGACGGGAGTATACTAGGCAGTCTAGAGATTGCCGAGCTTTTGAGCTCACACTTCCAAGCCCAACTCAGCACTGACACAAGATCCACACCGACTCGCTACGACACCGACCAGGTCGTAAATAACGAATACCTCTGTCACGTCTCTATTACAGAGAAAAAGGTGTTCGAGAAGCTATCTAGGCTACGTCCAGGCAAGTCCCCTGGCTGCGATAACTTAAAACCAGTGGTTCTGAAAAACTGCGCCGAGGTGCTTACTAAACCACTTCGCAACCTCTTTGAGCACTCAATAGACTCGTGCAAACTCCCTAAAGAATGGAAGAGCGCCATCTTGTCACCCATCTTCAAGGGAGGAGACAGAAAAAGCCCTGGCAGCTACAGGCCAATTGCTCTACTCCCTATTGTGTCGAAAGTGTTGGAAAGCCTGGTAGCTGACACCATCTGGGAATTCCTCAATAGGGAAAACACTGTCCATACTGCTCAGCACGGCTTTCGGAGTGGTCGCTCATGTGCCACCAACTTACTAACCCCTGGGACGACTGGACACAAAGCTGGGATAACAGAAAACCTGTACATGTTGTATTTCTCGACCTAGCCAAAGCATTTGACAGTGTCCCACCCACAGTACTGCTTCACAAGATCATGTCAGCTGGTATAAGTGGACCCCTACTCTCTTGGTTCAAGGAGTACCTGGAAGGGAGGCAGTTCTGCACTAAAGTGAACAGAATAAGGTCGGAGTGGAGACCCTCGACGTCAGGAGTATCCCAAGGAGCAATCCTAGGACCGCTTCTGTTCCTCCTGTTTGTCAACGATCTGCCAGATAAAATATCCTCACCCATCCTCCTCTTCGCTGACGACATAAAAATTTGGAGGGTGGTAAACGAAGAAGCTGATTGTACAGCACTACAAAAGGACTTGCAGCAACTCGAGCTCTGGTCGTCGGAAAATGGCCTGAGCTTCAACCTGGAAAAGTGCAAAGTAATGCACATCAGTAAAAATGAAGCAAGTACGACCGACTTCCAGTACATGTTGAGCAACCGTGCTATCACCAGAGTGTCCATGGAGAAAGATTTGGGGCTCAACTTCTCCGACACCTTGGACACCAGCTCCAACTACAAAGGTATGACAACCAGAGCGAACGCCATTCTACACTTTCTGCGTAGACAGCTTGGCGCCCTCACTCCCGAACTCTTCCTCACCATTTTCAAATCCTACGTGCGGCCGCACCTAGAGGTCTTCAATACGGTGGCTCCTCCAACACTCAAGAGAGACTCTAATCTCCTTGAAAGAATACAAAGAACTGCAACAAAATCAGTTGTGGGGCTAAGGGGAAAGACGTATCCTGAAAGACTTAAACACCTAAACCTATTTACCTTGGGTTATCGCAGGAAGAGGGGTGACCTCATTATGGCATACAAGATCGCCCATCAGGCAGACCATGCAAACAAATCAATTTTGCCTGCAACTCAAAGATCTTCACGAGGAAACCCCATTAAGATAGCACACCAGAGAGCCAACACCATACTCAGGTCCAAATTTTTCTCCCTAAGAGTATGTGCTTTATGGAATGCCTTACCGCGACATATCGTTATAGCTCCCTCAGTCGACTCATTCAAGAGGCGATTAGACAGTTATATCACCTCGCATGGACTACCACGGACGTACTCAGGTAGTCACCAACGTCACTAGCCCCCAACTCCCTCTTAACTACCACTCACTACCTCTCTCCTTAATACACCCACATTACCTACTAGTTCTTCTGTAGGAACCAAACCCACGCGACCATTCGCGCAATTCCCAAATGCTTTCCTTTCGTTCTCTTTTCACCCCTCATTTTCTTCTCCTTCCCTTTTCTCTTCCCTACACTATTATTTTTTCCTCTGTTGTTTGTTATTTTTTCCTTATTCTCTCTTCATTCCTTTACCACTACCTTACTATCCTCTTTCAGGTACCTACACAGACAGGAGTCATGGCAGTTCCCTAAACTTCCCAGCAACCCGTAGCTCCGTATGCTGTGTAGAATGCCCTAACGTAATATATCAATAACGCCACCTCAGTTGACCCGTTCAGCAGACGGTTAGACAGTGATATCACTTCATATGGTCTGCCATAAATGTGCTCAAAGTCCCAAACTCATTAGCCCACCCTCACTTCCCATCCACCTACGACACATTATCTCTTTTCTTAACGTCTCCAGGTTACCTACTAATTCTTCTCCAGAAAACGGACTGACGCTATCTACTTTTACCTTTCAGGCAACTCCCACATACATTGTTTCCTTTTTCCCTTTTCTTTCTCTACCACTACTTTACTATTCTCATTGAGTTACTTAGACAGCAGTCATGACAGTCCCCTAACCGTCCCAGTAACCCGTAACTCCCCAATCACTCTGCAAATTGCAACTTACTAACCCACAAACATCCACCTTACCGAAGCTAAATGCAAGAAAGTAGAGATTTCCTTGTATACTGCAAGAGTGAACCAAGTAACTCGAACCAAGCCCTGAGAACTAGGCGCTTGCACTATCAGTATAAGATATTGAACATTGGATCGAACAACATGCTTGGTTGGTATAAGTCAGAAACGACGGAACAATACTTTTTGTCTTACATACATTTAGGCTAAACTTCAATGACAACTTATCGTGTTTTACTGTGTAGAATGTAGAATATGCTAATAAAGAGTTAGTTGCATATTTCGAATATTCGTCGATAGGGGATGGTTTTCGGGAATAGTCAGCCTATTTTAAGGCTGAGTGCGCTCTGCCGTCCTGGTGTATGTTTTCTGAGTAAAAGACGTCAGACTGCCCCGATGGCGACTCATGGCTGCACTGTTATCAGGTAGTCATTACGACTTAAACTACGCTGTTTTCTTAGAAGCAAGTCTACCATTCTAGCAAATTATGACCGGCCGATTTTAAGTTTCAAGCGATATATGTGTAAGTTTCACGATTTCTGCGGCACTATAATGCAGCTTATCCGCCTCACCTAGTGGTCAAACTGCCAAACTTGTCTCCTACTATGGAAACTGGAACGGTTATAAGCTGGGCAAAGAACGAAGGTGATGAGGTACGTCCAGCCTCTTTTCATATACTCTGTAGGTTACAGAAGGAGATTTACTTGCGGAAATTGAGACAGACAAAGCAACCATGTCATTCGATGCCAGTGAGTCTGGATATCTTGCAAAGATTTTAGCTCCTGCTGGAAGTAAAGATATACCTGTCGGGACAGTATGTCTTTTGATACTAAACTTCAGCGTTTCAGAAACTGTGTATTATAGTTCAGGAAGAAGGTGCCGTCTCAGCTTTCAAGGATTATGTTGCTGAACCTCCAGTAAGTCTGAATGCTAGATGTATCTCTAGTTCATGTACTTTCTCAATATATTTCTTTCATTCGATCAAATTGGATATCCAATATTGGTAGTGCAAGCGTAGAAAACTGATAGACTTAATCTTTCGCGTCTAGTTCTCAGGGCTTGGTTCGAGTTACTTGGTTCACTCTTGCAGTATACAAGGAAATCTCTACTTTCTTGCATTTAGCTTCGGTAAGGTGGATGTTTGTGGGTTAGTAAGTTGCAATTTGCAGAGTGATTGGGGAGTTACGGGTTACTGGGACGGTTAGGGGACTGTCATGACTGCTGTCTAAGTAACTCAATGAGAATAGTAAAGTAGTGGTAGAGAAAGAAAAGGGAAAAAGGAAACAATGTATGTGGGAGTTGCCTGAAAGGTAAAAGTAGATAGCGTCAGTCCGTTTTCTGGAGAAGAATTAGTAGGTAACCTGGAGACGTTAAGAAAAGAGATAATGTGTCGTAGGTGGATGGGAAGTGAGGGTGGGCTAATGAGTTTGGGACTTTGAGCACATTTATGGCAGACCATATGAAGTGATATCACTGTCTAACCGTCTGCTGAACGGGTCAACTGAGGTGGCGTTATTGATATATTACGTTAGGGCATTCTACACAGCATACGGAGCTACGGGTTGCTGGGAAGTTTAGGGAACTGCCATGACTCCTGTCTGTGTAGGTACCTGAAAGAGGATAGTAAGGTAGTGGTAAAGGAATGAAGAGAGAATAAGGAAAAAATAACAAACAACAGAGGAAAAAATAATAGTGTAGGGAAGAGAAAAGGGAAGGAGAAGAAAATGAGGGGTGAAAAGAGAACGAAAGGAAAGCATTTGGGAATTGCGCGAATGGTCGCGTGGGTTTGGTTCCTACAGAAGAACTAGTAGGTAATGTGGGTGTATTAAGGAGAGAGGTAGTGAGTGGTAGTTAAGAGGGAGTTGGGGGCTAGTGACGTTGGTGACTACCTGAGTACGTCCGTGGTAGTCCATGCAAGGTGATATAACTGTCTAATCGCCTCTTGAATGAGTCGACTGAGGGAGCTATAACGATATGTCGCGGTAAGGCATTCCATAAAGCACATACTCTTAGGGAGAAACATTTGGACCTGAGTATGGCGTTGGCTCTCTGGTATGCTATCTTAATGGGGTTTCCTCATGAAGATCTTTGAGTCGCATGCAAAATTGATTTGTTTGCATGGTCTGCCTGATGGGCGATCTTGTATGCCATAATGAGGTCACCCCTCTTCCTGCGATAATCCAAGGTGAATAGGTTTAGGTGTCTAAGTTTTTCAGGATACGTCTTTCCCCTTAGCCCCACAACTGATTTTGTTGCAGTTCTTTGTATTCTTTCAAGGAGATTAGAGTCTCTCTTGAGTGTTGGAGGAGCCACCGTATTGAAGACCTCTAGGTGCGGCCGCACGTTGTTGTTTCTGACAGTATTAGTGAGTCACCCACTTACTATTCTACGTACTACGATATGAATTAGCTTCACTTGTGTTTTAAGAATAGGTATCTAGACATCAGTGTTTATAGAACTACGTGTGTTTATGCTGTAGTTATCAAAATAAAAGAGTTTGTGTTAAACCGAGAAAGTAAATCATGCCGAGTTGTCATGATTTATTGCTGAAGCACTAGCTGGGATCTGCATCAGAAGTAGAGTTTTTAAGATTGGTTTACAGCCTTATCGACTGACTCCTCTTCTCTATGCTTGACTTATACACTGCTGACTTGGTGACCACCGCACATGACCCATGCTATGTAGGCAACGGTAGTCGAACACTCATATCCTTTAACTTTAATGATCATGTCTCAGCCATGTAGTAGAATAGGGTGAACTGCAGCGGAGCACACTCGACCCTAATCGACAGTTAGATATCGCGGGTTTCCATATTTAGTGTAAGTAAAAATCGAGCTAGTCTTTTGTGTCCGTCCAGAGATTTCGTCAGTCATTGGCCCGCGCTCAACCATTACAGTCCCTATTATTAGACGGTATCACTGAGGATCAATCCTGTTGCAACAGTTTACATTTGCAGAGCAAGAAGCTCATTTCCAACATTCTCAAGTTACCACTCGAGGTATCCAGAAGCTAACTTGTCAACATAGTTGGCATTTACCAACTTACATCATCTGTGGTGCCAACTAGCGAGATATCCGACCACCTATTAAAGGATGAGTATACTGTTGTACAGCTGACATGGCCGTTAAAAATAGAGGACCTAAAGTGGTTGCATGGTTCTGAACACAGGTTTCTCCATAGAATTGTTCGCTTTTGGTAGATGCCCTAACCCGGGTTAATATTTCGTCAGCTACTAGCCCTTATGGGGTGATACAACTCCCCAAGGAAGTGATGCGGCCAGTAAATTCTATCAGTTCACTCCATTCTTAAATTTGGAGTTGGTCTTGATCATTACTCAAACATCTCACATTTTGCAGGTGAAAAACGTATACTTGTCGCGTTGGTAGTCCATCGTTATTAATCAGACTGACCGGGGATTAATGTGAAAGATTCATGTATGATCCTTTTCGACTGATATCTCATTGATCATCCCAATCTGGTTCGTGGTTTCTGAATGTGTTCCAGTTTTTTTTTCAACCAAAAGATGATGACTATGCAGGAATTAACTAGCAAATTATTCAAAATTCGTTTAGCACAGAATTGTAGGCCAGAAATGGGGATCTTGAATGGTAAAATCCTCACTTTTTAGAATCTAAAACAGTCGTACCTACCAACATCAGACAGTTACAATATTTCGAGCGAACCACCTTTTTCGATAACTTCTTCTTCAAGCTTTATAGTAATAAATCCATGAGAATAAGCGAAATACAATAGCGAAAACAAGGCATGATGTACAATTTTTACTATATTGAGACAATCAACATGCGTGGTGAACGGTGATCAAATCGAATGGAGTGGGGGGGGGGGATGGTTATCAGTCTAGTGTGTTAGTTGTGCAATGAAATAAATATTGACAGAACAATTATAAAATGAGGAGACAAAATCTACAGATAATGATTCATATATGTACATTTATTGGATCGAAGATGTGTTTGTTTACTAAAGGTTAAATAATAATTATGTAGTGATGAATTATATTCAAATGGAATAAAAATCATGTGAATACTATGATGAAATATGAAGTATTACGGTGTAATACAAGCAATAACACTATAGCGTCACGGTTGAAAAAAATACTGGTAGTGGTATGGATAAAGAAGGGCATAAAACTAATAACGTAAGAAAATGAATGTTTATCAATGTAATGACAATATAGAAGAAAGGGGTGGGAGGTTAAAATGTGTAATTTGTGCTAGGAAAGTTCATAAAGAATGTGTCGACCCTTTTGTGGGCCTAGGTAAACGAAGTGGTTGTAAATATTTCTTTTGAACACAAGTCCGGTTTTCTTGGGTTGATCCCTATGGCTTTGGTTATGGATATGGATAAGATGCGAAGTCGTGCACCCTTAAGGAGATTGCAAGGGACATGGTATATCACAGATAAGGTGTGATCTACCTTGATCTAATATCCAGTATCTACTAGATGTGAGAGGACTGCACTGTTGATGCTCTTTGTCATCCCTTTCTCTAACCTAGACGGTACACGTTCACGAGCGCGCGTGCATAGAGCCCTTTGAGTACGATCTATGTAACTAGCTCCACAGGAGTAGTTGAACTCATAAATGCACATTGATATCAGACAGTTACAGTATTTTGTGAACTGGGTTGGACATTTGACTGAGTTGATAGGTAGTGCTTATGACTCTCACTGAAAGTAGTCCATATCTACTATATGGTTTTAGTGTGGACTGGTTATTCAAAAATTCGTAATCAATTTCTGAGCTTGCGGTATTCTATCTCCTGATGTAAAGCTGTAAGTAACTGGATTATTGGTTATTATTATTTGTCCCTTGGGTTCCTAGTGAAACGTAAGGCTTCAGTAGCACGTCACCATTTCACTCTCTTCTCGGCAGTCTTTTTTAACCTGGCTCCATGAGCCATGAGCTGCTGGCCCATTTCTTCCTCACACGATCTCATCCATGTCACCCTCGAACGCCCAACTCGTTTCCCATTTCAGTTCCACTCAAGGGCCTGGCCTGACGCATGATGTCCCCAAACAGTCTTCTCAGTGTGTACACAATCCATCTCCACTTTCTTCTTCTGCGTATTTGTTGGGCGGTGGGTTCTTGGTTGGTTCATTGCAAGTCCAAAGTTCCTCCTTGCTTATTCTTCCTGGCCATCTGATCTTCAGCATCGAGCGTAGGCAACTGTTGTTGAATATCTGTAGTTTGTTGGGAATACTTTTGGTAACACGCCAAGTCTCTAAACCATCACATAGAAGCACTGACTTGACTGACATTAGTAGTATCGAAAATCCAGATCTCGTTCAAGGTTTACGCTGAGTGCAGTGCAGTAGATCTTTACACTGATTTCATATTAATGAAGTAATGCCTGTTTTGCTGTCTTTCCGATCCTGGTTGACTTTGACATCCTGATCTGTGCCTGTGCCGCTGCCTGTAGTTGGAACTATGCTGCCTTGGTAGTTATGTAGGTAGGTGGGAGAGACAACTTCGTTTAGATTTCTCCTGTTCACGGTGATTGTTGCTTGTTATTGTTGTTGGCCGGGTATCTTCATCACCTGTCTTCTCTACGTTCACCTGAAGGAAGTCCTGACTTCGTTTCCTCGCCTCTTTTGTCAACTTGTTAGTTTTCGCCTGTAAACCTTCGAGCTTGCGCGATATAAATCATCATCGGCGAAATGCAAATGTTCTAAGATCTTTTCATCGGTCAGACAGCGTGTGCCCATCTTCTCGCTCCTCACAGTTTGTCGCATGATCCAGTCGACCACAATCAGATCATCGGAGATAGTAGTCTGCAGCCTAGTTTTACTCCTGTCTTCACTTCAAAGGCTTCATTGTGCTTTCCAATGTGAATCACTTGGCATGTAGCGTCCTCATATAGCTGTTTAATAAGATTCTGATGCTTTCCCGGATTTCAGTAACTTAATGGCGTTCAGGACTTCACTTTTGCCTTTGTCGGAGGGTTTGTGTTCACTGGTAGTTCTGTGGCTGGGTTGCTGGTGGTATTTCTGGACGAGTTGCAGGTGGTGGTCGATTCAAGAGCTTTTTGAAGTGGTAAGCCCACCGTTTCCTTTGTTTCTCCTCTTTAGTAACTAAGTTTCTGTTGTTATCTCATTGGTTCTATCTGTGTCGATCTCTCCCCAGATGGTAACCTGGTTATTTGATATAGCTTTGTCAGGTCTCTTCTACCAGCGGCCTGTTCTGCTTCACTTGCAAGTGTGTCGTAGAAGTGTTTTTTGTCTTTCCGCGCACTCTTCTTCACCTCTATGTTCAGTGTAGTGTTTAATAGTTTGTCTTCAGTTCCTCTTCTCGTTGTTCATCCCTGCACTGCACTGGTTAATCTTCTGCTTCACCATCCTCCTCTCCCTCCTCGATCGGCTTCCATGTGTCCGTCGAGATTCATTCCCTATCCTGTTTTTTCTTCCTTCCTAATACAGTTATGCAGGTTTCTTTCCGCGTCTCTTTCAAAGAATTCCAGTGTTCTCCCACGCGGGTTTCCTTGGAGATGTTGCTCAACATTTCCCATTCTGTTCTGATGGCTGACGTGAAGATGTCTTTTGTAGTTTTGTCCTTCAGTTTCTGTTCTGGGTGTCAAACTTGAACTGTGGTCTATCACCAAATCCTTTGAATGCTTTCAACTTGATTTGGAAAGTTTCTTGCAGTAGATAGTGAGTAGTGAATTCGATGTGATTTCTAGTGTAGTGTGTCCGTCTGGTGGAATCCATGTCGCTTTGTGAATATCCTTGTATCTGTACACACTGCCTCCAATCATCAAATCATTAAAGGTGCAGAAGTCTGCAAAGAGTTCTCTATTCTCATTCATCATTTCACCAAGTGCCTGTTGACGCATGATGAGTTCTCTTCCTGTGTTGTCTGCTCCGAGTTTGGCATTCATATCACCCATTAGAATTTTGATGTCGTCATCTGGGGTGGGGTCTTGTCTATTACTGATTGCAGTTATCTGTAGAATTCCTCCTTCTCCTCTTGATCTGCATTATTCGCAGACGCGTAGCATTGTATGCTTGTGAATTTCCTTCCTTTTGAGTTGAATCTTGTTGTCATGATCCTGATCCTGCAGGAAGAGGAGATTTGTTCCCACTGCATGAGAACCTTCGATGCTTTTGGGGACATCATGATAGCCACTTGCTGAGTGTGCTCGTGGTTGTCGTCTGGGTGACAATATCGGAGTAGATTATTGAATACCCAGTTAACGGTTTGGAGAGTCCACTTCCGTCCCACTTGCTTTTGCAAATTCCTGACACTTCAATGCGATACCTTTTCATCTCCTTTGCAATCTGGGCAGCTTTGCTAGCCAGCTTCAAACATTGTGCGGACATTCCATGTCCCCATGTTTACTTTTGCTTTCATCGAGGGAAGACACATTGGCCAACTGGCTTCCCGAAATCTTTCAACAAGCGGCATCATTTCGTCTCCCGATTCCAGCGAGGAATAAGTTTATTTTTATTTTTTTATATTTCGTGTGTGTTTTGAAGCTTCTCTAGCGATTGGATTGGTTTTTGGGGTAGGGTTGCTAGTCCTACGCCCAACCTTCCCTCTTTATCTGGGTTTGGGACCGGCTAATGAACTAGTAAACTAGGTGAGGTTCAGTAATTAGGTTAGTCCCTCTGATTTTTTGATCAGTGTGTCACTGATTCGAATCTTACTCAACCTTCATATATTTGAGCTGCTGGCTAATGTCACTAGTCTCCATATAACATTTATAGTCTGTTGTCTGATGTACGAACTGGCATGTGTTTGCTATGCTACACTTGTTTTGTTTTCCTTGTAATTCACTTTCAACTCGGTGTCAAGTTTAGCTAGCTAGTTTCCATCTATAGAAGTTAGTGAGATGCAGTGAAACTAGAAGTGGTGACCATCTCATTGACAACTAAGCCTTTTTAATCTTTAGATAGTATTGTACTCCTTTGTTGAATTATGTAGAAGAGATATGCTTTGGTATTTTTCTTCATAACTTTTATGCATATACCAACTCGTTCTTGATTTACCTCTCTAATAGAATGTTTTTAAATTTGTCTAGGACCAAGCTTCTGCTTCGAAAGCTAAAGAAGGCATTGATTCTTCTTCCTCTCCTCCTCAACAACAGCAACCTGTTGTCACACCTATACCTGCTGTTTCCACTCCTACAACAACAAAAACGTCAGGAGGACGAGTCGTTGCCTCTCCTTATGCTCGTCTTCTAGCTGCTGAAAAAGGAATTGACTTGTCACGTGTAACTGGTACTGGAATGAATGGAATGATACGATCAACCGACTTGAGTACTGCGCCTACTACTGCTGCGTCAACTACAACGGCAGGTGGTCCAATTGTGGCAGATGGAAAATTCGAAGATATCAGTATCACGAATATGCGATCGGTAAGTGAAAGCTCGTTCATTGGCAAAACAGGACTGTCAGTTGCATGAAGCAGTCCACGCATATATATATATATATATATATATATATATATATATATATATATATATATATATATATATATATATATATATATATATAGTATATCACTATGTGGTTCAAACAGGAACCCTAGTAATTACAATCCCACTATTCCTCTAACTCTTGACTGTCATTCAGAGATACCTATGGGCTTACATATCAAGTAATGTCTGATCTACAAGATGTCACATTCACAATAGGGGCTAGAAAAAACGTCTTGTGGTCTCGAATAATGTTTTACTAATAAACACTTTCTATCGTGACCCCAGTGGTCTAGGGGATAACGCTGTAGCGTTTAAAGTGATTGGTTCTAAGTTTTAGTCTGAATGGGAACAAAACTCACTGGAAAGCAGGCTCATCCAGCTGACAAGTCCCAAGTAGGACGAAACGCGCGGCTCGAATTTCACTACTAGCCACTATCCATCCTTACTATTAAGAGTGGTAGGTGTTTCTTTGGAAGTATCTTTGAGATTGCTTCCCTAATAATCGATTTTTTCGAGGTAGTGTTCGTCATGGACTGAGATCAGCTGGTGAACCATTGTAAACCTGGGAGCATTGCACAACTGTTTTGTCCTAGTATGGGACTCGTCAACAGTGTGCACCTGCGACGCGACTAGGGATCAAACTCAGGACCTTCAGGTTTCACGGTGAACGCATTAACCATTCAACCACTGGTTCGGAGTTCAATAGTTCATGGTTTCATACTTTTATCAGTTCACGCCATATTGTGCAACTGTCACTCTTCTGACTGGTTGACCCCACAGGTCACAGCTTCTCATTAGAACTTCTGGATATCCATCTGCAAGCATGTCACTAATAAGCAATATACATTGACTTATTCTGAATGGTTAGGGCGTTCACCTTGAAACCTGAAGGTTCTGAGTTCGATCCCTAGCCGGGTCGTGAGTGCGTACTCCTGAGGAGTCCCATACTAGGACGAAACACTTGTCGAGTGCTCCCAGGTTTTCAGTGGTCCTCCAACTGATATCAGTTCGTGATGAATACTACCCCAAAATCGATTTTTTGTCTCCTTAGTACATATGTTGAACTGAACTGGTACCTTAAATAAAAAAGAATAAAAACACTGACTTGGTTTTTGAAAGTTTAAAAATTTTTTTGTTAACTCTTGACCAAGATGATTCTGAGTGTCTGTTGAAGATTTCAGCTTATGTTTAACTCCAAGAAAACTTGAGGATTAGTAGGTTTCAGGGGAATAATATGAAGTAAATCTGGATTTCCTGGGGATCTCCGAGGCCTACAGTAGTTAATGCTAAAACATGAGTAAACAACTTGATATTATCCGAAAATTGTGGAGTTCATGCCAGTAAAACAGTTATTCTCTTTAGGATTTCAAACAACTAAAATTCCTATAATATTTAAGAAGGCAACAACCTGTACAACGAAAAATATTCTTATTAATAAATTCTCTTATCAGGTTCTACAATTATAAACTGTATTTGTATAGTGTGAAATCAAGCCATCCTAGGGGCAGGTACATTTTCAAAATGGAGTGAGATTTAAGGATTGTAGAGAAATCGACTTATCTTTATTAAATTATTCAATATTGGGATAACACGTATAGGGATGAATGATATGATGGTGAAGAAAAAGATCAGGAATAAGAAATCAGGAGTGGCCTTCAGTTAGGTGAAGTGGAAGGGAGAAGTAACGCTTAGACATATTCTTTGTGAATGTAGAGTTCAGGTTTGATGAATTATTTTGCGATAGCCTCAGCTATGTTGAGCAGGCGTTGGTAAGCTACATGTGATGTTATTTTTGGAACAGGATGAATGAAATTGAAGGTTTGATTAGAATCTATGTGATGTGTTGTGTGGACTAGATGCACTACGACTGAACTTTTGACTTCTCCGTTTCCGAACGAAGCTGGTAAATGCTCTCGTATTGGGAGACGCACCTGCCTAATCGTACGCCGTATATAAGTAGTTGTACAGAAACAGTTAAATTGATGTCTACAAGATGAAGAACTAAGATTAGGTAGGTTATCGTTTAGTCTCGGATTGAGCATTGTTTTGTGACTAGTACTGAGTGATATGCAAAGCTGACGTGTATAAAACGTCCGATTGTCTACTCTAGCTAGGGGTTGGGATAGGATGTTACTTGGAGTGTCTCCCTTGAATTACAAACTGTCATTAGTTCTTGTTTAGAACCAATGTAGTTTTGATGAACTTATCCGTTTTCACTTAGAATATTAAGGATACACAGTAGCTCTTTTTTTTCCATACACTTCTTGGAATAAATCGATTTTACCCTAAATATCAGGCACTTGATTATATTACGTTTGTACTTCGTCGGTATTAAGCTGAGAAAGTGTGCATACTGTGCCTTAGATGTTAGTTTTCTGAGTATACTTCTCGATATAGAGCCATCTTTGTTTCTTATCATTAGCACATCGAGAAAATGTATTGAATCATTGATTTCATTTTGGTATGTAAAATGAACTGATGAATGAGCGCTGTTGAAATGGTTCAGAATAGAATTAATACATATGCACTTATCAAAGACTAGAAAGGTATCATCCATGTATCGACAGTACAACTCCGTATTAGCAATTTAATCTTTTAAAAGGCCATTTTCCAATTTTGCCAGGAATATGTCTTAAAATATTGAGCCGAGTGGAGATCCCATAGCCACTCCATCAACTTATGTGTACAGATTACTGTTGAGGATGAACTGGACATTCATTGTACAGTTTAGCAGTAGTTCCTTCAAGTTCATAATCGGAATGCCAGTGTCTAACTGCCTCTCCAATAGTTAGTCAACGAAGATGTGACATCTAGAGGGGTCCTATGGATTTATTTTGTCGACAAAGTAAGAGGTATCTTTCACGTCTTGTTTTCCTAACTGGAGTAATCGTACTAGCCATTTGGCGACAGCATGGTAAGGCGAGTTGGTCATGTCTAGGATAGGGCGAATAGGCACCTCAAGTTTATGTATTTTTGGTAGACTATACATCCGTGGAATCGCACTACCTATAGGCTTCAAATTTTCAAATAAGATAAGAAATGAGAAATGTATCCGTCATATTTCAGTTTCTTTAGTGAGACAATTAGGTCATCTTCTGCTTTTTCAGTTATGTCTTTCATTGACTGTAGTTTCTGAAATTTACTTTCGTCTTGCAATATTAAATTCATTTTCTGCACATAATCAACTCTGTCCATAATTACGACTCCAGCTCGTTTATCCGACCTTATGGTGATCGTGTTCTGATCCTTTCTAAGTCTGAGAGCCTCACAATTTTCTCTAGTCAGGGTGGTTGAGCGTATACCATTTTAGAGATTAGCATTCTGTTCCTTCTTAGAGACTTTCAGTAAATTCCCGGATATTGATTCTGAATACAATCTTTGATCAACTCCATATGTATGCTAGATTGATTCAACAAGACTTCAGGAACTCATTGAACACCTTCAACTCAGTGAGATACTCAAGAGAGTTATTCTCTTTAACCATTCAAATGTGAAGTGATTGAAGTTAAATTATTTGCCTTTTAATTGAATAGCTCTTTTAATATGAATAGAACAGTATCATATGTAAATATATTTTCTGTCTTTCAAGGTAATTGCTAAACGGCTAACAGAATCAAAGCGTACTATTCCACACTATTATTTAACAATGGATATTCAATTAGATGAAATTCTAGAAATGCGCTCTAAGATCAATGCGAATTTGGCTAAACTTGGAGATACTACAAAATCTGAAGAAATCAAAACAAAAATTAGTCTAAATGATATTATCATTAAGGCAGCGTCATTAACATGTCTAAAAGTACCGGAATGTAATTCATCTTGGCAAGGTGATTTTATCCGACAGTAAGTTATATGCCACTAGTGTTTTTTCTTCTTGATACATTTAGATTGTTTTATTACTCAGTTATTTCAGGTTGGAGTTCATCATAGACTAACATCAGTTAAAGAAACATGGGAGCAATGGACGGCTGTTTCAATCCTAGTATGGAACTCCCCAGCAGTGAGCACATATGACCACGCCCTCCAGGGATCCGTGGCCACCGCGTTACCACTGACTTACTGGGTCGGAACTCAGTGATTCATATTTCCTATTTCTATCACTTCACAATATAGCGCGACCTCCATCCACTGCCGTTGCTAGGTAACTGTCCTCATGTTCGACTTGGTTGGCTCCACTGTTCACAATTTCTCAATAGAACTTCGGGAATCACTTCTCAAAGCTGGTTACCAATGAAGGTCCTGGGTCGGATCCCTGGAGGGTGGGGTCATGGGTGGGTACTGCTGACGAGTCCCATACTAGGACGCAACAGCTGTCTAGTTCTCCCAGGTTTCCAATATTCCTCCAACTGATATCCAACCCTGAAATCAGTTAATAAATCTCCACAAATCTTCAGATTGAATTACTCACTTATTGTCGTCCTTTATTTAATTAGTTTTATCAGAAATTAATAGCATTAAATACACTGGTACTCATATGAAGGCTACAACTGCTATTATTTTGATAAGTGGCCATTTCGATTTGCCGAATAGTTTTATCAACTCTGACGGGGTTAGTACTTGAAATCCTAGGGTGTTTTGGATTTGCTGATGAGTGCCACCTGTTGTATATGTGAGGTATCTAGATGCCTAAGAAAACTGAATATACCAAGAAACCGTGTATTTTCCCCTATACCTTTACAAGATGTTCGCATCAGAATTGACTGATATTCGATGCTGTTTGGATTACTGACTGACTCCGTTAGTAAGGATTTACATAGAAAAGGCTGGTTAGTTTATGAGGCGATGAGATCTTGCTGACTACACCATCTTGGAAACTTTGCTTATGCTCAATTACTGCATACTTTGACATGTAATGACCACTGCTAAAGCAGTAGAATTCTGTAAGTCTCTCAGTAGTAGGAATAACCTATCATCAATTTGTAGAGACCTCCACTGACAACCGGGGAGGTCCTACACTTGACTGACCTTGGTAAGGTGTTATCAGAGATATGAATGAAGACAATGTCACAGAACTCATCATCATCCATATCAACATCGGACCAGGCATTACTGCGTGACGGTCCGAGTCGCTGCCATACCTCATATCAGTACATCAAGTAAAAGGGCAGTGAAGGGGAAGATGAAGAAAAAACTCAGTCAAAAAACTATAAAGTACGAAAAAAGAGAAAGGAAGAATGTGAGAATGGTGAGATTCGGTATAGCGTTAAGATGATAGTGTGTGTAGGGATATATCTATTCCACTGACATTGGTTCTGAGCCATAACATCACCTAGAGTCTCCAACCACTGGTTTCTCTTGTCCCGCGGGCCCCAACCACCCAGTGTGTATCGACCCACATGGCTCAAACCAACAGTCAAAGACTTGATACATTGCTGTCATGTTTTAATCTGGCCACCTCGAGCCTTTTCCCAACCTGAACCTACTTCGGCCAACATTGTGTGACAAGGCAATCGATGACTAGGCATACGTAGTACGTGTCCCAAACATCTCAATCGATGAAGGTTTATAACCTCATCAACTGATTCACCTCTTCTCCCTAAAACTCTACACCTGACTTCTATGTTACGTGGTGACACCACGAAATACGTCCTATACTACGAAGTCAACGGTGGTCAAGCGCTTGAAGCTTTCTCATGACTTCCACCTTCAATGACCATGTTTCACTGCCATACAGTAGAACAGAGCAGACTGCTGTGCAGTACATGCTACACTTAATAGACAATCGGATATGACGGCGATGCCACAGGTTGCGTGAGTTGGTAAAAGCTAGTCGAGGCTTTTGTGTCCGTGCAGAAATTTTATCAGCGACTGAGCCACCAGGACAGTGCTGATCCTACTTCCCAGGTAAGTGAAGTGGTCGACACACTCAGTGACTACACTGTCTATTGTTAGCCGTGGTACCTTTGAAGACCAATCCTGGAACAACAACTTGCATTTCCGTGGTGAGAAACGCATTCCAAACATTCTCAAATTCCCACTCAGTGTTCAGAAGACTCTGGATCTTGCCAGCGTGTTCACTTAACAGGACTATGTCATCTGCATATTCTAGGTCTAACTAAAATTCTCCTTTGATTAGGTCAATGTCTGTGTAATTAGGTGACGAGAGGGAAACCTCCATAAGAATATCTGTGATAAAATTGAATAAGAATGGAGAGAGTGGGCACCCTTTACGGACATCACTCAATGAGTATAGCTCCCTGGACAACTCGCCATAGGCTCTAACATGCCCACACGTGTTCGAGTAGAGAGCTTTGAATAAGGTGATGTACTTACTAGACACGCCTTTCAGTGACAGACATTGCCATAAGACTTCTGGATCAACGGATTCGAATGCCGCCGCCTTCAGGTCGAGAAATACAGCTAGTGTCGGGCATCTGTAGGCGTGCCTGTGTTCCAGGACCTGGCGCAGTGTGGATATTCGGTCGATACACTCGCAGTTGGGTCTAAAGCCTGCCTGGTTTTCTTGGGCTTGCTGTTCCCGGGCTCCAATCAGGCGTTGGAGAATCATAGAACCTAGGATTTTGGATACTACGTTCATCAGGCTGATTCCTCTGTGGTTATCACAGGAAGACTTCTGGCCTTTCTTGAAGACTGAGATAATGAGTGACTTAGACCAGTCAGAGTGGATCGTATTTGATTCCCATATACTAGCTAACACTTCCGTTAACCTGACTAAGAGCACCTTACCACTATCCTTGTATATCTCTGGAGTTAGTCCGTTTGGTCCTGCCGTCTTAAAACTGATCATTTTTATCCTAATATAAGCACTGAATGCATGTTTGTATTTCTTGGGTGTTTTCAACACCTCTTATTTGTTGCTTTTCGGGTTTCTAAGGTATTTTACAAAATAAACCGAATTATTGTTGTGCTAAATTAGTGAATATATTTCGTAAGCACTATTTGTGGAGAGTTTTTCTCACTTTTATATTCTGAACACAGATAATAAGTAGATTTAGTTGTTGCGCTAATCTCTTTACTTTAAAATATTCTTCGCAGATGAGAACCTAGTTGAATAAAATTGGCATATTGTACCGGTATCCTTTATAAAAAATATCATGCACTTGATAATCACTAAAGATAAGCATGACCAGATTAGAAGTAATGCAGTCAAAATGAAAAGAATCAACTTAGTACCTTGCACACAACACCATCAGTCCAAGTTACCACACTTCACAGTGGTACACAAAAAACAGATGCATAGAAAAAGACTGATATCACAGTAGACAAAAGAGTGTGAGAGAACATACATTTGGCAGATAACGGTTAGTGTAAATATTTAAGCTTTAGAAGACATCAGTCAAGGAGTGAATACATCCATCTGTGCCATTGTGACCGATTTTCGGCTATTTCACCAAGAGTCAATCCTCATCCACTGATTTCTTTCCTCTTGCTCACCTGAACCAATCTGTCTACATCTTCCGACACGACTCACACCAATAGTAAGAGACTTTATAGACTAATGCCACATTTTGGTCTTGCCACCCTGAACCTTCCAACTTAAACCTACTAACCGTAGCATGGCACATCAAGGTAGGGGGTGCGGCTGCATGCGCAATACACGTTCAAGCCATCTCAATCAACTAAGGTTCATAACCTCTTCAATCGACTTGTCTAGTACCTTTCGCTTGACCTCAATATTGTTCACACGATGATTACACCAAACGCAAACAATGCCACGAAGATACCTGTGATGAAAACTCTATAATCGCTTCATGTCTTTAATTTTCAAAGGCCATGTTTCACAGCCGTACAACAGGACAGAACAGACTTCAGTGAAGTATACTCATCCTTTTATAGATAGTCGAATATCTCACTAATCGGCGCTCAATATAATACAATTTGGCCAATGATAAACGGGCCTTCTGTTTCCGAGCTGAGATTTCGTTGGCAATCTGTCAGTCCGTTCGAACCGATGCAATTCCCCTTGTAGGTGAAGTGGTCGATAGTTTTCTTGTAAATGCACTCTGAATCACAGTATGTATAAAAGTTGAATCAATGAGAAAAATGTTAGCCATTACCTTAAGAATATAAGGTATAACTTTGTTTTGATGGGACTGATTTTGTCTTTTTTTTGAATTTTTCTTTCCTGTAGGTATCATACTGTTGATGTTAGTGTGGCTGTAGCTGTTCCCGCTGGACTTATCACCCCGATAATATTTTCTGCGGATAAAAAGGTAACTTTCTTTTTCTGTTTCATAAGAATATCATCTCTGTACTCTGAGAAAAAGACATGATACTAGGTGACCTTAGAAGACGTCATGGAGTGAATACATCTGCACCATTGTGACCGTTTACCAGCCATACCACCAAGAGTCCTCACCCACTACATTCCTGTCTCTTGAGAGGTGCCTAGCCTATCAAATGCTCTGATAGGTGTTCTCTCGTCACTGTTTGTTGTCAGATCGCCAATGGCGATGGGAATTGTACACGATCTTATGGTGATATGAGAGGTTTAAAAAGAGAATTGTATTCTATATACATGTTTATATCCTTTTCAGCAAGATGAAAGAGATATAGGAAAGGAAAATGTGATCGAAAGTCGTGGTACTCACACAAAGAGAGACAATTAAAGGGTAAAACAACGAAGAAAAAGTCTCCAGTCATTGATTTCGATTGTCATGCAAATTTCTTTATATAACTCAGAACAAGGGCTAGAAACAGATCTCAATGACTGATGCTGAATTTCGGTCTGACCGCTTTCGACGAGTTTTTTTCAAGCCTAAACACACTTCACTCAACATTATGCGATAGATATGCTATACCAATTAACAGACGAACATTTTAAATGTGTAAATGGAGAACTGGAGTTAACCAGTTTTTGAAAATGAAACAAATGACAGAAAAGATAGTCGATAAAGCTTTTGTCTTGTTTATCAGCACTTTCTATCGAGAACTATATGTCACACCTTTTGAGTTACTGACTCACAATATGCTGAACGTACCTTGAAAATTGTGATGTGGACGAAGATATTTCATCTGGACACAACTATGTCATATGGATTGATGACAACTAGTGGTGTCCACCAGGGATGCCCAATGTCATTGTTCCTACTAAACTTCGCAATGAACATACTAATGGAAATAACCTTAGGAACGTCTGACTTCACAGGGCTCGATTCCACTCCCTGAAGGTCGTCTGGTTGACGTAGAATATGCGTGAGTATGGTATTATCCTACTAGGTAAGGACGCTGACGAAATGCAGGGTCTTGTGTATGCGTTGAGCAGAAATCTGTGTATGTTTGATATGCGTTTCGCTGGCAGCTGTTAAATGTAAAATGAAACTGCAGGACTGGTCTACTGCAAGTGCTCCCAGTTTAAGGATAGAGAGTGAGGTGGTGGAATGTGTCGACCACTTGGCTTACTTGGGATACAGAAGGCCCGTTTGTCACTTGGCAACTTTGGGTTGTCTGTGCTGCTGACTATCGGGATGTCCGACTACCTATTAAAGGAAGAGTATACTCCACTGAAGTCTGTTCTGTCCTGTTGTACGGCTGTGAAACATGGCCTTTGAAAATTAAAGACGTGAAGCGATTATAGAGTTTTCATCACAGGTATCTTCGTGGCATTGTTTGCGTTTGGTGTAATCATCGTGTGAACAATATTGAGGTCAAGCGAAAGGTACTAGACAAGTCGATTGAAGAGGTTATGAACCTTAGTTGATTGAGATGGCTTGAACGTGTATTGCGCATGCCGCAACACCGCCTACCTCGACTTGTCATGCTAGATGAAGTTAGGATGGATTGAAAGAGAGTTCAGAGTATCCAGACCAAGATATGGTACCACTGGATGAAGTCTCTTACTGTTGGTGTGAATCGTATGGGTGGTAAAGATTACCTGATTGGGTTCCGGTAGACGTTAGGAATCAGTGGATGAGGATAGACTCTTGATAACATAGCCGAAAATCGGTCACAATGGCACAGATGGATGTATTCACTCCTTGACTGACGTCTTCTAACCATTATCTTCAGATTCTCACACAACTTTATCTGCTTTAATATCACTCTTGTTCTACTCATCACTTCTCTGCATATTACTATGGAGTGTGGTAAGTTGAACCAATGCAGTTCTGTGTGAGGTTCTTTATTGATTCTATCTGTCTGACGTAGCTATCTTTCGATTCACATAAATGTATCATAATCCAGCTGCTTACTTGTCTGGTTTTTATAAAGCCAGTTTCAATATCAAAAAGCAACTCCGTAGTATTGAAACCGTTAGTATGTGATTCTCATTCCACGTTGTTTATCTCTTACACATGATTGTAGAGTCATTTAGATTGTATTTCTACATATCCACTGACTATTTATAATTCTCGTGCGCATGATTTATTAGTCTTACCTTTTTTAAATTTTTTTCTTCCTAATTATTAGGGTCTAGTACAAATCAACAATGAAATGAGAACGTTAGTTGCCAAAGCGAAACAGAATAAATTACAACCTCAAGAATATCAGGTAAGCTGTCGGAATCATTGCTGCACAGAGAAATTTGTCTACATGACAGTATTAGCTGTTTTCCCGGTAGTCTACACTAATCGATTGCATGGAATGATTTCAAGTTTGGTGTAAAAATGTGTCCATTTTAATAATCAAGCTTCATGACCATGACAGTTTAATGTTGCCTAAAAGTAGTTAAGTGCTTAAACTTTGTATGAGTTAAAAAGGGGGATAATGAGGCGCCACGGACATGGCTCTTGAGTCATACTGTCCAGTAATGTATTTTCAGATGAATGGGGATTTTTAGTTTAGTGGTAGTATTTATCATGGACTAACATCAGTTGGGGAACCATTGGAAATCTGGGAGCACTGGACAGGTGTTTGGTCGTAGTGTGGGACTCCTGAGCAGTAGGCACCCACGACCCGGCTAGGGATGGAAGTCAGGACGTTCAGGTTTCACGGCGAACGCGTTAACCATCCAGCCACTCAGTCGGCTTTCAGCGATTCACAATTTCCAACTTCTGTCAATTCACGATATAGCGTGACTATCACCCAGGGTCTTCAGTTAGCATCCGCCTCACTTCCGACTGATTGACCCACAAGTCACGGCTTCTCATTAAAGCTTTTTGATATTCATCTCGAAGCAAGTCACTAATGAGGACTATATAGTAATGTATTTTTGAGATGAATGGTGATTTTTAGAGGTCCTGAGGTCGACCCCTAGCCGAGTCGTGAGTGCGTACAGCCGATGAGTTCCATACTAGGACGAAACAGCTGTCCAGTACTCCCAGATTTTCAATGATTCCTCAACTGATGTCAGTCAATGATGAATACTACCCCTATACTGTCCAGTGTTTTTCAGTTGGAAATCGCTTGTATTTTTCCAAACGATCTATTGTGCTCTGTGTGCTTCGCAGCTACACCAAGTGAGTTCATAGATGGAAGTTGTGAGTTGGTAGATTATACATAAGCTTGCTAGCTATGAGCGTTTGCTTGAAACTAAACACATACAGTATCTACTGATCAGTACGGGTGACAATTGTTAAAACTGCGTCACTACTTTTTATATCGTTGTAGTCACTTGATATAACCTAAGTGGACACTTGATCAATGACCTTTAAATTTCACCACTAATGGTCGCTCAGTTCCTCCGTGAACGAAAAAGGTGATGAGATAATAGAAGGTGCGTTATAACTTCAAAATATATACAAAATACAGCGGTTTATATGTATTTACAATAGCCTTGGCTATTTCCAGGCCTTTCTACACTTAAATATTCTATTGATTTTTGTCTCTTCAATCAATCTGATGTTAACGTATTTAGTTCATGTGCTTTCTCCCGAAACCTCAAAGCAAAACGATTGGTTGTAAAAGGCTTCAAGGATATGTCTCACTCATATTTTGTCTACTTTGATTGACTAACTTAGTACAATAGTTCAAGTTACCCTAATCTGAAAGAACACGGAGAAAAGAAATAAACTAAGCAAAACGGATTCAGATCGAGAGGTAATACGTAAGTGGATATTTATAAAATACTGGAAATTTTGAGGATAAAGTAGTATTAACACCCATACTACTATGACTGACCTGCTTCTGTTAATACTACTACTACTACTACTACTTAAGAACTCAACTTTCGATCAATAGGTCTCGGATTGTAATCTCACTTCACCTAATTTGATCTCAGCAACCCTAGTAGTATCACTAACCCGAACACAATAAATGTATCTCGTTTTGACTATCTGAAATAGTTATGGTTTGTCAGACTAGTATTGATACTGGATTATGATTGAAGGTGAAATGAAAATTTGGACCGTGGAGGAATTCAAACCAGCGACCACACCGGGTTTCCATCGCAGTAGCTCAATTGGTAGAGCCAGGCCGGAAACCTGGTTGTCACTGGTTCTAATCCAGCCGTGGTGTAATCGTCATCCAGTATCGAATGTATCTCAGCCTAATATATAAACGCGTATCAGGTTGAGTTACATCATATAATTATTAGTTATAAAAATCAATATTTAAAGAAGATTACTTTTGGTTGTTTTGCTAACAGAATTCGATAAAATAAGCTTAATTACTGATACCTTTGTTATAAATATGTGCAATATAATAATATGATATAAATAGTACTCATGGAAAATACTAAATGAATGAAATGTACTCAGCCATGTTGTGCACATTTATACAGGGCTACTGATGCTATCTGGCTGCCCAAACCTAGGTAGGTGGAGTGGAACTCGAACCCATGACCCATTCGTTGAAAGTCGTCTTTCTAGACTCTTGAACTGCAGCTTATGATCCTTCATTAGCTTTTCTCTGTTAAATCCTTATTATAATTTTTTTTCTTCTCAATAAAGAAGCAGGTAATTCAGTTTTTCTAATATATCTGCCTCTATTTATTATTGCTACAAAAGGGTGGAACATTTTCAATTTCGAATTTGGGCATGTTTGGCATTTCTAACTTCAGTGCTGTAATCAACCCGCCTCAAGCATGTATTCTTGCGGTAGGCAGTACAAGGCCTCTTCTATTGCCAGATAGCAGCAATTCTAGAGGGTAAGTTCTGTTAACTTTTCATCACTATATTTTGGTTCCAATTTCAGTGTGTTTATCACTTTATCTGACCTTGTGATGAACTGCATTAATTCTTATAAGATAGATTCATAGTAAACCTCATGTGGCGTATGGAATGAGTTTTGTATTTGTACACCTTAACAGTTTAACGGAAAGAACAATATACAACGCGCGCACATAGAGTTGCCGCGGTTCAGATGATTACGTTAGGAATTTTCGGTCATTGGCTTCACAATTCGAAACCTACCAAGGTTTGGGTAACCAGGTAAGAAAGATCCCTTACAAAGTAAAGTAAGCATGGCTTGTTGCCTTCGACGGACAAACAGAAACAATGTAAAGCCTCACACAGAAATGCATCGGTTCAAGTTGTCACACTCTACGGTAGTACACAAAGAACAGATGTGTAGAGGAAGAGAGACAAAGTTGTGTAAGAGAATAAGCAATCTGGAGATAACAATCGAGCTTTAGACAATGTCGATGGGTGAATACATCTGCGCCATTTTGGCCGATTTTCAGCCATGTCACCAATAGTTCTTAACCACTGATTTCTGTCGTCTGCATCTCACACGATTTAGATCAATAGTAAGGGACTTCAATGACCAGTGTTACGTCTTCGTCTGGCCACCCTAAACCCTCTTCAGAGCTGGAAGCTGAAGACGGCGTACATTTATTAGCCAGAAGCGAAGAAAATTCAAAAGGTAATGGGGTAAATGAATTGATGACGATGAGAAGAGGAGCTCAAGTGTATATGAGTTGAACACTTTAGTAGAGTGTAGTTTCATACAATAATTATTATTATCATTATTAATATTTGTCCCTTGGGTTCCTAGTGTAACATAGGACTTCAGTAGCACGTCACCATTTGAATCTCTTCTCTGCTGTCTTCTTAACCTGGCTCCACGACTGTCTATAAGCTCTCATTTCTTCCTCACACGATCGCCTCCATGTCACCCTCGGACGCTCATCTGGTCGTTTCCCACCTGGGTTCGACTCGAGGGCCTGGTGCGTGATGTCCCTAAATGGTCTTCTTAGTGTATGCCCAATCCATCTCCATTTTCTTCTGCATATTTGCTGGGCAATGGGTTCTCGATTGGTTCGTTGCCAGCCAGAGTTCGTTGTTGCTTATTCTTTCTGGGCATCTTATTTTCAGCATCGAGCATAGGCAGCTGTTGATGTATGATGTCTGTAGTTTGTTGGAAATGCTTTTGGTAACACACCAAGTCTGTCAACCATCATATAGAAGCACTCACTGACTTGACTGACATTTGTAGTGTTGAAAATCTGGGCGTTGTTCACGCTTTGTGCTGAGTGCAGTGCAGTCGATCTCCACACTGATTTCACATTAATGAAAGAATGCCTGTTTTGCTATCTTTTCGATCCTGGCTGACTTTGACATCCTGATCTGTGCCTGTGTCGCTGCCTGTAGTTGGAACGATGCTGCCTTGGTAGTTATGTAGGTAGGTGGGAGAGATAACTTCGTTTAGATTTCTCGCATCGATGGTGTTTTGTGCTTTTTGTTGTCTTCTCTATGTTCACTTGTAGGGAGTCCCGTCTTCTCTGACCTGCCTGTTCTTCGAACTTGTTAGTTTTCGCCTATGGATCTTCGAGTTTGTGCGACAGTAGACATAAATCATGGTCGACGAAATCCAAATGTTTTAGGGTCTTTTCATCAGTCGGGTTAGTTTATTTGATATTCCTCCCACGAAATGATGCAATGTTACAGCAAATACCACAGTATCATTACTTGCGATGCCAAATAAAGTAATCTAATATGCAAGAAACTCAAGTACTGTTGAGAGTATGATAGTGGTTGACACCTTGCCTACTATCCATACTATTGAAGGTCACTATTGCTTTGAAAACTCTGGAAAGGAAACTCCCATTCGAACATGTGGTCTAATTGGTCTTGAGGCATGACCGCAGAGTTAAAGGGGATATCTGCTTGAGACCGATCATACACAAGGTTTTTTAAAGGCAACTCATATGGATTTCATGCACTTTCGTTTGGAGTTTGTTACCATTCTTACCATCAGTCTCAAAAACCATTGTGACAATGTCTATCTACAATTTCGATTTTTGTAACTCCTCCTTTGAACAGTAACGAGGATGCCATCAGTATGCCTAAAAAATACTATATTGCTGTCACCCTTCTAAATACACCCAATATTACAACTTTTATCTATAATGCACAAAACTTCTTCTTTTGGTTGCCATCTCTTCAACCCACCTTTCTGGTTGAACTTCCAATGAACAAGTATCTCAGTCAATGATATAACTAGGATCTATCTTTTCATCCATCCACCCAAATCAACATAGGACCAGGCATTACTGCGTAACTGTCCGAGTTGCCACATCTCATATCAGTGGAAGATGAAGGAAAGAAAACTCAGTCAAAAGAGATATAAAGTACTGAAATGGAGAGAGAGGGAAAATGGTGAGATTCAGCATAGCGTTAAAGTGAGGGTAATGTGTGTATACGTCTGCGTCACTGACAACGATTCTGAGGCATATCACCTAGAGTCCGTCTCTAACCACTGGTTTCTCTTGTCCCACGGACCCTAACCGGCTAGTCCGCATCGCCCCACATGGCTTAGACCAACAGTCAAAGACTTCATCCATTGATGCCGTGTTTTAGTTTGGCCGCCTCGAACCTTTTTCCAGCCTGAACATACTTTGGCCAACATTGTGTGACTAGGCATACGTAGTACGTATCCCAAACATCTCAGTCGATGAAGGTTCAAAACCGTGTCGACTGATTTACCTCTTCTTCCTAAAACTCTAAACCTGACTTCTGCGTTACTCCGTGGTGTGGTGACACCATGGAATACGGCATATACTACGAAGGCGACGGGATCTGTCTTTAGAGTAGGCAAACCTTATCATCACAATTTCAGACAGCAGCTACGTGGTTAGGTGGTGAATATGGCAACCATTGCCTCTTTCACCTATCTAGGCAGTGCTGTTTCAACTACACGCGGCACAGATGAGGACGTTAAAGCCAGGATCGAAAAAGTAAGACAGGCTTTCATTAGCCTGAAACCAACGTGGAGGTCTTCTGCACTTAGCATGTGGAACAACATCCAGATTTTCAACACCAACGTCAAGTCAGTGCTTCTGTGTGATGTTTGAGACACTTGGCGCCTTACCAAAGGCATTTCCAACAAACTACAGACATCCATCAACAACTGCCACCTACTCTAGCTCGTTACTGAAAATCAGATGGATTGTCAGAAAGAATAAGCAACAAGGAACTCTGGTATGACAATGAACCAACCAAGAACGTATCGCTGAACAAATATGCACTGGAGGGAATTGGAGATGGATTGGGCATACACTGTGAAGACCGAGTGGGGATATCAGGCGCCACGCCAATTGCTCGAGTGGAACGCAGATGGGAAGCGACGAGTTGGGCATCCGAGGTGAGGGTGACGTGGATGAGATCGTGCGAGGAGGAAATGGGAGCTTGTGGGCTGTCGTGGAGCCAGGTTCAAAAGTTTGGAGAGAAGAGAGTGCACTGGCGACGTGGTACTGAAGCCCTGTGTTCCATTAGGAACCCAAGGGATTAATTATAATAATATAATAATGGCAACCATTTGGTATTTACATAGTAATCCATATTTTAGATTTCATCTTCAATGCGGTACTTTTGTTCCTCCATATTTTCAGATTTAAACAATCTAATGTTCTATCAGTAACACTCTGCTGTGATCATCGTGTTGTTGATGGAGCTGTGGGTGCTACCTGGCTTAGTGAATTCAAAAACATCTTGGAGCATCCTGCACTTATGCTTATATAATTGGTACTATGTCAGTTTTCGTTTCGACCTCAGTTATGAGTATCTTCGTCGACACACACACACACACACACACAGAAAGTTAAAACACCCGACTGTCTGGGACAAACGAGGTCAATATACAAGATCGTACTACATTAAATCATACTAGTTATTATTAGAATCTTTTCTTGTGCACACTTACTTATCTATTTGAATGCTTTAGCGGAAATAAACTTTTAGCCAAGCTGGAAATTAACGACAATAAATGGATATTTATGTGTGGCGGGTCAGTAATCTTTGAATTCACTGTACACATATGTATTTGTAACTGTGTAAATAGAAAAATATGATGCACGAAACTCTGGTGTTCAAATTTCCTCTTCTCTCAATGGTCCCATTCCATTTTTTCACTGTTGTGGCATTTTTCGGTTTGTTGATTAACCCCCGTGATATATATATATATATATATATATATATATATATATATATATATATATCCACCAAGTATACTATACTAAGCCCGAAAAAGTTGCATTTTATGACCTGAAATTAGTGTCTGTAGTCGTTTTGTCATTATTATCACTCTTTTTTTTTATTTAAGAGGAATTTATTACTATTTATTGATATAATGATGGATAGTGGCTAGCGGTAGAATCTAGGATACGCATTTCGTCCCATTTGGGACTCGTCAGCTGGATGTACCTGCTTCCCCGTGAGTGATGTTGTTCCCACTGGGATTCGGACTCGGGAGCGATCACTTCAAACGCCAGAGCGTTATCCATTACACCACCGAGCCACGATAGTCATTTCTTGTGTGACGGGTATAGTTTTAGTGTTGTTGCTTCTATTATACCGTCGTTGATTGAACCGAATTGATCGGTCTCTGTTTGCATGTGGGATCCTGTGTGAATGCCTCGATATTACCTGTGCTCTTATGGTAGTAATGATGGATAGTGGCTAGCAGTGGAATCCAGGATGCACATTTGTTATACTTGTAATTCTCCGTTGTTTTACTGGATTGATTTGTTTGACCTCTATTGGCATATGGCGCTCCTATGCGAATGCCTCCATATTGCTTGAATGTTAATTATGGCGATTCACTTGGTTATGACCAGGAGAAGAATCTAGAACACACGTTTCGTTCTATTCCGGACTCGTCAGCTGGATGTACCTGGCATCGAACTACACAAATTTGTGCTAAAATATACAAATTCAAAAAGAGTGAAAGGAAGCTAATGTAATTTTAGTTATTAAACGGATTGGGATGTGCATGAAAATACATTGAAGCAGTATTTCATATATGATTCATTACATCGTGGAGATGTAACTTAAGCGTTCAACTTTCAACCAAATCACACTCTGACATCCTTTAACTGCGCAAGTGGTAAGCATCATCAACTGTTACACAAGAAGCATGCATCTCATAGCCGAGTATATAAAGTTATACCGAGTTGAAGTACATTAGGCAATCAATAAGATTATAATATATTATTATTTTACAAATAGTTGTTACGAATGTCCTGGAAAGTTTGAGCGCTTAGTGTGATCTAGTCTTCCTGAATCCAGGATGCACATTTCCTTCTATTCGGGACTGTTTCCTCCAGTGACCTTGGCGTTTGAAGCGATGGGCCATCCGAATGTGTCACTGTATATATATATATATATATATATATATATATATATATATATATATATATATATATATATATATATATATATGATTGATCAGTATATCGATTTCTGTTGAGGAACTATCAAGTGTTGATCTGATGATAGGTAGTTCTGCTACTTGGTGATTGTTTCTTTCGAGTTTGATGGTTTGTTGTTAGGGTTAGGGTAATGTTACTTTTGTTAGTTTAACTTGGTTTCGGCATACACCGTCTGAAGTTTTTAGGTAGAATATTGTGTTGCTATCAATTTACATGTAGTTAGTAATCATCATTACCGGTTTACTGATGTTTATGTGTATATATTTCCAGTGTATATATCTGTAAAATCAATAATCATGCCAAGGTCAAGTGAGTTTTTATAACAATGTTATGTTGTTTTTTTCTGGTTATATATTCCATCCATGAAATAATTGATTAATTTACAAGCAGTTGTGGTTTAATTTTTCTCTCTCTTGAATATCAAATTTTCATATTTTTGCCTTGAAATACTACCATTCTTATTTAATTGGTATGACAGTATACCATTTCTTGATGTTCTGCTGGTAGGAAGGTTAGATGGAACTCTGAACGAAGTATGCATATACAACGTCAACATTGACTGATCAATCAATACATACACTTCTTTAGTGGTGTACTTCTCCAATACAAGAGGAGCTTGGTGAAATGTTCTAGCATACTGTACCACAACTGTTTGTTATGATGATGCTATAGAAGAAGAGTTCGCCACCATCCGTGATGACCTGCTTAGTCGGAATGGCTGGCTATTCAGAAAAAGTTTGTAAATAAGCATATAAATTTAGTGTCAACGACAGTGTAATGCAAGCAATAACACTAACACTGTACCTGTCGCACAAAAAGTGGCTATCGTTGCTCGGCGGTGTAGTTGATAACTTTCTGGCGTTTGAATCGATCGCTTCCGAGTCCGAATCCCAGTGGGAATAATATCACTCACTGGAAGGCAGGTACATTCAGCTGACGAGTTCCAAATAGGAGGAAATACCAATTCTGGATTCCACTGCCAGCCACTACTCATCGTTAATATACATAAGCATATGAATGTCACAAAGGAAATCTTTTTCAAGTTGGAATTCAAGAGTCATATTTTTAGTAATATCATCATATAACACACAAAAAAAAGCCTTCCCAGCCACTAAATCACTAAGCTACTGCTTTACAATACGTTCTAATTTGTGATTCATGTATTTGTATATAGCAAGACAATATTTTATACCAGATTCATATCTAGTAGATGTTATACACACAGGAGACGTAGCCACAGTTATGAATGCATAGGCTGAAAATAAGTATCTTTATTATCATGGTGTTTCACATTTACTTTATAACTAATTTAGACTGAGATTCGTTCCATTTCCTTCTTCCTCTTCTTCTTCTCCTTTGCCTTCTTCTTCTTCTTTGCCTTCTTCTTCGTCGAATTATTATTATTAAAACGCATAAGAATGCGAATAACTCGATTTTAATTAAACACTTTGGTTAAAAATACTCACTGTTATTGTAATGTTTATGCATATTTTTGTTCTTTTCTAGAATATCAGTCCATGGTCACATCAGCAATACATTCCTTAGATTAGTATATCTATTATTATACATCGAGTATATACTCCTTTACAACATTTTGAATGGTATTATTATAAAATGTAAAGAATATAGATCAGGAGAATATTTTACATTGTTAATTAAGTTATTGAAATGAGATTTTTAACTGTTACAAAGTTGATAAGTATGAGTTCTGAGTTCTGACACTGTTTTCCTCACATGTAAATGTAACTGAATTAGAGAGGGGAGGAGAAGCATTATATTGATCATCATTTAACTATTTGACTGTCGGTGATCACTGGTTCGAATCCAGGTGCGGTTCAAATTTCTATTTCACCTTCAATCATCACCCAGTACAAATACTGGTCTGCCAAACTACAGCTATTTTAAACAGTCAAATGATAATCAACATTGATGCTTTCTCTCCCCATTCTAATTCAGTTACATTTCGATTGGGATGAGAGGTCCCGGGTGGTGGGCAGCCAGTGTGAATATATGATCAAGTGGTAGTAACGCGTCACGAACTCACATGGTAGTCGTCGGACAAAATCCATGGTGATTGAAGTGAAATAAAAATGTGGTGAGCAGTCGGACCTCATAGCTCAGTTCGTAGACCATTGTGCCGGAAACTCGGTGGTCGCCGGTTGGAATCCGACGGCAGTCCAAGCTTCTATTTCACTAAACTACAGCTATTTCAGATAAATATCAGTAGCAAAGTTAATTCTAATAGTAATAATAATGGTAATAACAGCAACAATAATGGTAATAATTTTGTTGATAATGATGTTAATAATAGTATCGGCAATACTGTGAATAGACAATTCAAAACCTCCACAGTATTACCATACAGGGAAGGCATCTCAAAAACACCACGTAGAATTCTCAATAAGGCTGGTATTAGAGTGGCATTTAAACCTACAAACTCACTTCGAAATAGGCTTTGCAGGTTAAAACATCCTATTGACCTAATTAAGCAGAATAACTTAGTTTACCAAATCCCTTGCAACAATTGCTAGGTCAAATACATAAGTCAAAGTAGTCAACCAGGGTTAATTAGACTATCGGAACACAAAAACCTAGTTAGGTCAAAATTGGTAGATCCTAGTAAGGTAAGGAATTTAGAAGAAAGCTCAGGCATAGCTATGCATACGATTACACACAACCAACACACAATAGGATGGGACAGGGTGAAAATTCTTAAAACTAACATAACAGGGTGGGGGAAGAGATTGATAACTGGATCTTTCAAGTTGTAATTCATCATAGACTGACATCAGTTGGAGGAACAAAGGAAACCTGGGAGTACTGGACAGCTGTTTCCTCCTAGTATGGGACTCATCAGCAGTGCACACCCACGACCCCACTAGGGATCGAACCCATGACCTTCAGCTTTCGTGGCTAGCGCGTTATCATTGAGCCACTGGGTCAGAATCCAACGATGAATAACAACTTGAAATATTTCCAAATCTCCACAACTTCCTCAAAAATTCAACTGAATCTTCGTTTATCGAATCACCATCTAATACAACATATAACAGGAATGACTCAGTACCTGTTCTGGATATATAGGGAAAACCTTACTACCCACCTCACAAAGAGACGAGGAAATTAGAACTATATAAAGGATATCTTAAAGTTGTGTAGTTATCTTCATTATGACAACTATGGACAATAAATTATGTCCGAAACGTAATTCCAGTAAACAATACTGTTCCTTCACTGTGTGATAAATCTAATAAATCAATAAAAATGGAATTACATTCTACCACAGTGCATAAGTTTTACTCTTATATTAATGGACCAGCAGTGTTTTTTGCACGATAAAAGGAGTGATAGTATTTCGGGAACTTTATATAAAGATTTAAGTTGGAGACAAGTTCAACAGACTCAGTTTTAAGAGTTGTTGAACTTATGAACAAGAAATTTTTCTTGCTTTATTTATGCTTTCAATTTATTTGGAGGATAAGCGGCATTGAAACGGGTCACTTTTGGACAGCAATACTCCATTTTGGAATGTTTAACTGGTTACAATGACGGAAATTGATTAGTGTTTATAAAATCAATCCATATTCCTAATCATATCTTTAACTGAAACATGGTTACTTGAACTGATCAATGCTGATAATACAATCAGGAGGTTTGTGGAGATTTATTTATCGATTTCAGGTTAGAATTTATCATGGTCTGACATTAATTATAGGAATATTGGAAAACTGCGAGCACTGGATGGCTGTTTCGTCTTCGTGTTGGACTCCTCAGCAGTGCGCACTCATGACTCCGCCCTCCGGGGCTCGAGCCTAGCATCTTCAGGTTCCGTGGCCACCACGTTATCATTGAGCCACTGGGTCGGAATCCGATGGTCCGTATACATCCTACTTCTGTCAGTTGAAGACCATCACACAGTGTCTTCGTTAAATATTTGTCTTCATCTCCACCAGGTTTGTTTGCTTCCTTTCGATTCGAACTAATCTGACGCTGATTGTTGACTAGCTTCGAGAGGTGATTCCCGAAGTTCCAATAAAAAGTCATGACCAATGAAGCCAACCAAGTCGAAAATGAGGACAGTTACTTCACAACGGCAGTGGATGAAGGTTGCGCGATACCGTGAACTGACAGAAGTAGGAAATATGGACTATTAGATTTCAACCCAGTGGCTCAATGATAACATGCTGGGGGGAAAACTTGAAGGTCATGAGTTTGACCCCTGGAGGGAGGGGTCATGGATGCTCACTGCTGGGGAGTCCCATACTAGGACGTAACAGCCGTTCGGTGGTCCGATGTTTCCATTGTTCCTTCAAAGAGAAATCTGAATTATCGGAGTGGGGGAATAGAATGTGTCAGGTTTCCATTGTAACTGAAGTGACTGGACAAATTTCTCTCAAACACAGAGATGAGGCTTTTAAAAAATAATTGCCATGGCTTCTGCTGTTTGAAGACGAGACTTACACGAAGTCTGTAGATGAAACTGAAGTTGTTTTCTGCATAATCAATCAAATATTCTAAAAGACCTGTAAAGTGTTCTCCTGAGTGGAACCAGGCTGGTATATGTTTGGAAAGTGAACGCTGAGTACGGTCAATATATCTTTCTCTATAGGAGCAGGTGAATTGATAAGCATACATGGAGGTGGCCAATAGACATAGCTTATCTTTTACGCATAATCGAAGCATTGGGTAAGTCGAGAAAGCTAATATGAGTTCGGCAGTATAGAAAGTCTTTCTCAATGAGCGTGTCAAACGGTTTCTCAGTATATCTGCTGTTGTGTCTCCATTGAAGTGTAAGTTCATGGGAAGAGGCTTATAAGAAGCCATAGAAGTTGGATGTTTATTTGCTTTCAGTTTCATAGTTTTAACAGTGCAGCACTAAGGATACTGGTTTTCAATCAAAATGTCTTCCATACTATCTAGACTGCAGATTATATGGATCCATTGACACATAGAAGGAATTAGATTTGGTTTGTTGCATTGAGGCACCCAACTATGAAAATTCGTCAGTCCTTTTCATGTGAGTTTTCTTTAGATAGACCTTTCAAGTGATCCATTCTCTGGTCTTGTTAACTGAATATTTAAAAAGGATAAATAAATATCTTTATTCTCAAGTTATGAAGTTAACATGAGAGAAGCCAGTTTACAGGCCTCATCAAATTGATAATTGCAGCGAAACATAAAAGGTTTTAGCAGTGTTGAATGATACAGAGGGAGGACATTAGACTCTATTATGATACCAAGTGTCTAAATATTATGAAAATAGCAGGAAAATATCACTTTACAGTACATACACATCGTTCTGATTTTAAATCATTTCTGATCACAATTCTTTCTTCACATCAAACGGCACAATATTCGGTGTTTGCGTTGTGAGTAGTCGACATGACTGACCCATCTGTAAAACCCAGTGTTTCGTCAGATAAACGTCAATTTTAACAGTAATTCTTATGTTCGTAGATTTATTGACCAATAATGACTTACTTCAATGATTTCAGGAATAAGCAAGTATGCATACAATCATTTAATCCAGGTGAATGTCTAAGTTCAGGCACTTCTCACTCTTCAAGTCTCATCTTTGCCAGCAATTCAGATTAGTAGTACTGAAAATATTTGTTATGGTGCAAGTAATTAAAGACTGGTATCATCGTCATTCAACAGTGGTGAATATTACACATGTGTAAAATTGCATAGACTACACATTAAAGTATCCAACATTGCCAAGGAGATACATTGGCTGTTAATTGACTTCTATTAGATGGATTGATACAAGACAAAGTACTAGAGAAATCTGTTACATAGCACTCTTGTGAATGTGTTGCCGTTAGGTAAAGTGATCTCTCGGGTTGGATCGTTTATCCAGATTTCCGCTGCATTTGTTACGGACCAGTAGTCGGAGGCCAGTTATTGTGCTTGGGGTTTCGTATGTGGTAGCATTAGGGGTACTGGTAGGGAGGTGAGTTGGTTGTTAAGCTGTTCAAGAAACAGAAAAATCGGGGCAAGCCAGTTGGATACCTCTAACATCAGTTTCCAGTATTAGGTACGAAGTAGGATTTACAGTAAGTTGATACTTTTTGATCAAACTAATGCTTAGAACTTTCTCGTCAGGCTGATACTGAAAAGAGAAGAGAAAAAAAAGCGCAATGAGAGACTTGACAATGGAATACCACGTAAAACAAACTGGGAGGAGAGAAGTTCTTGTCTTTTTAAAGTCATTCTAACTATATGTAAACTTTAATTTATTCATATTAGAATTACTCTTCTGTTTTTATGACAGGAAGTTCACGCGAGTTATTAGATAGGCAGTTTGTCAGTAAACTCAAAGGAAACACTGGTTATGTATTCGCACTGCACAATCCGACCAGATGGACCAGTAATCAAACACCCTTTATGAGTCCATTGAGGTAAAAAGTACTTGAGATTTACGATAGTCTTACTCTATACGTTTAGAGGTCCTAGTATGCTTTCATTAGCCCAGAACGTATAGATGGTGCCTAGGCGAGTGATAGACTGATCATCTGTTAGGAGCTTATTAAGTGCAGAACGAAAGGTAGATAGTGTGCCTGCGGTACGTATTTCCTCAGGAAGTCTATTCCAGATGTGAGAGAACTTATTGATGAAGAAATTTCTTCGCAAGTCGGTCTTACAACACTCAT